GTTTTCATTGATGTCTGCTGTTCTGCTGAAGAGTGGAAACAATCGCCGCATTGTTTCTCACTACCTGTAAAGCTGTTAATTATGTTGTTATTTTCATATTTTGCCAAATTAATGTAAATGTTTGATGTTAAACTTTGATTCTGTAAAATAAATGACCGCATTCATTTTGATGGGTCAAAGATAAATGACGTCTCACGTTTACATTTCATTAAATTCAATGCACGTTTTATTCAGTCCAGAAAAATGAAGAATCCGTTTTAATTGATGAATATATCTCAGCATCTGTTCATCTACAGTTACTAAAAGCCAAGAGCTCAGAAGCTGGACATCCAGCAGTTATTGTCATTAAGTAACTTTGTTTTATGGTTTAAAATCTAGTTTTATTTAAAAATGAACCCACTGATGGGCCGAACTGCGCTCACCGCCACCAGTTGAATAGCCCTGATGCAAGTGTTGTCTGACTGAGAAGAGAACATGCCCACAACACAAAACCATCTATTTAAATGTCAACTTAAAAAAACAATGATCTCACCTCATCATCCTCCTCATCGGTGCTCTTCCCTGATGGGGTGGTTGAGCTGATCTTTCCCTCCTCTCCAGAGGTGGCGCCATCTCCATTTGAAGCTTGAGTTCCCTGCTCTGCCTCCCACTCCTGCAGCACCTCCTCCAAGTTGAACCGTCGACGATAGTTTACAAAGAAATTTTTGACCTGGCCTATGGTCTTGTTACCGATGACATCAGCGATGGCCTGAAAGTCTTTGCCATACTTCCGAACTCCTGAATAAACAGCAGATTTATTACATTGTAAAACAGTAAACGAGTGAAAATTGTTTTTAAATAAAGAAATGACATTAGCAAGCAAACTGCTTTATTATCTTTGAAGGTAACTCTTATTGCCATTTGTCTAAGGAACTGTGACAACCAATTGGATTTAGGTTGACTAATCCAAAAAAGTTTGAAGAACAAGAACATCTTGTTGGCAGGCCTCAGACTGACCAAGTCTTTTGCATGAAAGACAAAATGTTTCTTCCAAAATGAAACTGTCCAGATGACATAATTAAATTTTTTTTGTGATTTATGTACCTGGATGACTGAGCTTACAAACCTTTTTTTTTTTTTTTGAAGAACAAGACAACTGGACTTGGTCCTTTTTTTTTTCCTGCACTCGCTCTCGCTCAAGGCGGACGCCTTCTCCTCTCCCTCCCCTGTTCTCCTCGTCATCCTGCTTTTTGCTGTGTGTGTTTCGGAGCTCGTGGTACACATCTTCCGAACGAAAAATACTATTATGGATCAGGTGAGCTGGACTTTCAACAAATCAACAAAATCTTTAAAACAAAGAAACAGGGTCCTGGAGAATCCTCATGTCCTGCTGAGACTCTTGCTGGATACCCTGATGCATGCTCAATAATCCAGGTAGAAAAATCTAAAAAAGTTAAATCTGGTCCTCTGGACATTCAAAAAAACAAAACAAAGCAAATAAAAAAAAATGTAGAAACGTTTCGTCTCTCATCCGAGAGACTTCCTCAGTCTGAGGAGCTGTATTCAGCTCAGTCTCTTAAATAGCACCTTCTCAGAGTGGATCAACCAGTTTGGTTCCACTCTGCATCTTAACTGCATTTATTCTGATGGGTCAAAGATAAATGACGTCTCATGTCACTAATTATACACTCCACTCTCACGTTATCTTGGTCACATGGCAGAAATTTAACTCAAAAAAGAAATAATCCGTTGTTAATTAAACAATTAATATTCTTTGTGCTTGAACTAGCCTTAAGAATAATTAATAGGATGTCCACAGCAAAAGCTTTCCTGACATACTACATGATAAAGAATAAAGCCCCCAGTGTACTCCCGCGTACGTCCATTCATGCGTACGTACGCGTGTACTGTACGCAGACGGTTCAGACTTCATACTCCAGCATACACCCCGAGCGGCTGCAGTGCAGCTTCACAGACCAGGAGCGTTTACCTTCGGGACAAATTGAGGTCGCCGATTGGTCATTTGTTGACACGCCTACTGGATTGGTTGACAGGCCGGAAAAAAGAAAAAAGCGAGCGCTGACAGCCTCAGACACAGCGGTGTTCTGTGTTTATATGTTGTTAATAAAAAGATCTAAAAAATAAAAAAAAGACAGGGAGCGCTGGCGCTACAGCCCACGCATCAGATTTGCCCACCAGGAAATCTCCAGACCCTCCCTCAGCCACAATGGACCTGAGTTTAATTTGCTCGTGACAAATTCCTTCATTTCTCACCATTTCAGTCATGGCATCAACGGAGGAGGAAGATATCACTGCCTCTTGGCAAGAAAACAAAAGAAAAGGCCAGATCAGAGATGAAGAAGGGGAATTTAATACGTTGGTGTCGCATACAAAACAGTCCGTCGCTGGGCAGTTTATTGTGTGACACCACGTACGCGTATGCGGTCGTAAAAAATTGAGCTTTGCACAGACATGCCCTGGGGGGTACGCTCGTACCTCCGCGTACGTACGTGCATACCTCTGCGTATGGACGTACATGGGAGTATACTGTGGGCTTTAGAGGCTGCGCTCTTGTAGCAGCAGCAGCGTGCATTCCGCCCATCTTTCGGACAACTGTTTGAACATAATTTCACTGTATCCCAGTAAAATGATAATAAAACTTATTCTGATTGTGTAGTTGAAGTTGTTTCGCATCTTGTCCAGCATTTCTCAGTTCATAAGTGGAAAGTGTGGATTTCCAAGCTTAAGGCCCGGTCTACATGACATGGAACTGTAGCATTTCTGCTTTGTTTCAGTTGTTTGTTTACAAAACAATGGGAACCATTTTCCCTGCAAAGAAAGCTTTTAAGATCAGGTCACAGTGTGGAGGTCTTTGGAAACAGCTGGCATCGTGTGAGCACAACGAAGAGCTGGAGTCAACAGTTTTCCAGAGCGATTAGATGAAAAATGGTAAGAATGGCAGACAGCAGTTTTCAATGTGTAGGAGCAACCCAAGCTCTTCCTTTGTCCAAACAAATGTTCTTTTATTAACTACTTTGGATATAACTGCTGTTTTTATGTGCCTAAACGTGGA